GGGGGGGGGGCTGTTGTTTTTTGAACCAGGAGCATTCCCTTGTTTTATGTACTATATATATATTTGTAAATGACTTTGGTTTTTAAAGAGGTGTTGATCTTTGCATTCTTTCTAAAACCGCTTTGTGCTATATTGAGAGAAGCAAATGGGGAATACTGAAATAACTGGGAAATAGTGAGCTGAGGAAAGGGAGAAACAATTGAGTGTCCCTCTTCATGGTTTCATTCATTTGTATTTATATCATTTGAGATCTCATTAGTGTCCCAACTATTGGCATCCCTGAAGTTGTCATAACTCATGTGCAGCCCTGACTGCCCTCCACCTGCGCCATTGGCTTGGGGTGCCCCTCCTTGGTTCAGGGGAGTCAGTGGAGAAAGGGGGTTCAGTGTTGCCCCTAGACTTAGCCTTCAGAGCTAAAGAGAGTACAGCTGCTGTCATTTTTATTTTTGTTGATATGATCAAATATGACTCCCTAAGGCCTTCTAGTCATTACATTCTATGAATTCTAGGTTTCCATGAGAGGCCATTATAGCAGACCTGTGAAATCAGATTTATTTTATACTTTATACTTCCTTGCCCCCAGCCCCACTGGCACTTTAATTTCAGTTTCTTCCCCCCTTTAAATCACCACCTTTTAGCATGTTGTCTTTCACAGTAGCCTGTGTGTGGGATTCGAAGGTGTGGCTAGCTTGGCATGTAGCATTGGAAGCCCTGTCCTTTTTCATGTCATAGTGGCCTTGGGCTTTCTCTAAACCTGCGTGTTCAGGGATGTGTTCCCTAGGATCCCCGTGGTTATGCCATTAGCTGAGCCATCTCACAGTTAGCCGTGAATAGGTAGCTTTTGTGGCGTTCTGTGCTCTGTAAGTTTCTCCTTGGTCACAATGAACCTATCACAAATGTTTCCCAGAATATCAGCTGTTCGGACTTTTAAATCCCAAATCTGTGTAATGTATGTGTTCCAGTAATCTATAGAATACTGTACCTATTTTATGTTTTTACTCATCCTTTTTAAAAGCATATTAGTGAGGGTCAGGGTCAATATCCATCATAAACCACTAACATGATTTTTTTTCCAATTAAAATTTGCTATAGCTAACAGAAAGCAAAGCTTGGTTTTATTTTTTTATTCTTGTCAATTCCAAAATTCTGTCACTTTGTTATAATCCAGTCATTATAGTGCTTTAAGACTGTTGGCCAGGAAAAAAACTTAACAGTTTTATTGAGATATGATTCACATACCAAGCAATTCACCCATTTAAATTGTACAATTGAATGGGTTTTGAACAAACATTGGACAAAGATGTGCAGCCATCACCATAATCAATTTTAGAACATTTTTGTCACCCCCAAAGGAAACCCCATTCCCACTAATAGTCACAAAATAAGTTTTATTACAGGATTTTTTAAAATCTTAGGCTTATTTTATTAATAAAATAAATAAATATTTTTTTATTTATAAAAAAATATTTGTTTTCTAACCTTTTGAGTTTAAAATATGAAAATGCCTTGCATTTTCACAGAGCCTATAGAAGAGGCAGCTCCCAGATTCAGGGTCAGAACCTCTGGACAAGGTCTCGTTCTTTCTGAAACTCAGTTTCCCCATCTAAAGAAACAGAGATCATGTACTCCACCTCCTAAGAATGTGGTTGCAAGATCGTATGTCTGATTACTTTGTCAATTATAAATCATGAACCAAAATGGCCAACTATGTATTTCTCTTTTGTTGATTTTCAGTGGTATCTTAAGCACATTCCTTAAGAAAAATATTTTGCAAACTTGTAAATATTAAGACATACATGAGAACCTAATCTGTAGAACTGGAGAGCCTCAGTCCAGTTGTCTAATAGGGATGTGACTGTATGACGAAGCCAGCCAGCGCTCTCTGGGTTCGCTCCTGACCTGCCAGGCAGACCCGCTTCAGGTTCCCTGCTCTGGTTCAGGGAGGGGCGGGAGAAGGAAGCAGGGACTGCAGTGCTCATGGAGAGGCTGTTCCAGTGTGTGAGGCTCGCCCCCCTCACCCGCAGCCCTGGATCTGTAGGGAGATTTACAGACCAGGCTTTCGCTCCCTCTTCTGTGGAGGAGAGCCTCCTCTTCGCTGCCACCCTCTGTTCTGGTTTCCATAGTAACATCACTGCTGGGTCCTTCTTCCTCTTCACCTGCTCAAGATCTTGGGAAAATGTTAACCTTTTATTTAAATGTCCTTACTCTCCATCTTTCACCAAGGACAAGGAGGAAGAATGGAGTCTCTTCTGAGAGATGGTCAGCCAGGCTTCTTGTTCAAAGATGGGACCCTCCCTCCGCCGTGCAGGCAGGAGTGTGGCTCATGCACATGCCTCCTGGTTGCCTTGGATCAGACAGCTCCAGAAGGGGAGGAGCCAGTAACAGCACACAGACATCTCTCTTAACACGTTCTGCCTTTTACATTTTTCTTGCAGGAAGATCCACGCCTGAAATTTCCAGTACATTTGCGATCGAAGGCACCTTTAAACCCCAATGACCTTGGCCCTCTGCCTGTGAGTATATGTACTGGAGACACATGGACAAGTCTGAATATGTTTATTCATTTATCTGCCCAGTGTTGGTGGAGAGGCCCTGTGACCTCTCTCTCCAGACTTTTGGCCCATTGGTCTATAATTTCTTAATAGAATCAGGTGTATGGCTGAATTCTAATCGTACATACAACCAGCTAGTACATATGAAAGAGGTTTCTGAATTGGTAACTGTCAGTGGAAGGTAGACCTTGTAACTAGGATGTTGGAGGCATTCTTTACTGATGGCAATTTAAACAGCACACATTTATTTTGTAACATAGCAACCATTACTTCAACTCATAATCTGATTTAATGAATAGGAACAAAAATATTAAAAATGATGGGAAAAAAAGACATAGGTAATCACAGGAAGTTTTGTAAGTCATTTAGTCTGCAGATATTTTAAGCTTTCCTCCCTGATTGATGGCTGTTTATAAAGCTAATTTTTTATCAGTTCTTTTTGGGAGCCTGAATGGGATTGAGCAATTTACTACAAAACTGGATTTTGAATGAAAATTTCGCCATGCATCCTCCTTGACCCACCCCCAGTTAAAAATAAATAACCTTACAGGGGCAGGAAGGGGAGGGAAGATTCTAATACTATTTTTAAATGAAGAGCACTGGGAATTTTTTTATTGTTTTTTTACAAACATAAGAACCTTTTCTGTTGCCTGGTGTGTGGTATATTATGGCAAACTTTGAAGCTAGGGAGGTTGTGATTCCATCTTTATTCATTAGGTTATACAAATATCCCTCTGCAAATCTGACTGGTTCTGGGTTTAGATGAGAGAGCCCAAACTGTGTCTAGAGAGTGAGTTTCAAAAGGAAATCATTGCCTGTGGTCTGGACCTGTTAGGTTCCTGAGTTTCAAGTAGCAAGTAGGTACGGTTCAGACAATGAGAGCATACCAGCCCTCCCTTGAAAAGATTATCCAAGTCTTTTTGGTTCCCGAGTTTGAACAGTGAGAGTTCACAACAGTGAAGTGCAAGTATTCGATTCTTTAACCAGTGATGACATGAGTAAAGCATCTGTCTCCAACATTTTTGTATTATCCCTCCTCCTCCTCCTTTTAGTACTTAGTACATATTTGTTTAATTAAATGAACTGTTCATCCCCAAACTCAACTCTTCCATGGGATGCCAAAGTTCCCATTTGAAGCTTTTGAAATAGTGATCCCTGTTTCCTGTTCAAGTGGTGAACGCATCCAAGACTGTGGACGTTTGCTTCAAGTGTGTTCCTAGATGTTGTTGAGGGTTAACTTGGAATGTTTGTGGTTTATTCTTAATGTAAAACTGTACCCTAGGAGGGAAGAGTAAGGTGTCATAATTTTGCCTTTGATTTTGGAACAGCTAGCTAATTTTGGCATTCTCTCTCTCTCTCTCTCTCTCTCTCTCTCTCTCTCTCTCTCTCTCTCTCTTTCTCTCTCGATACTAGCCCGGGTGGGAAGAAAGAATCCATTTGGATGGCCGAACATTTTACATCGATCATAGTAAGTAGGCACTGTTATGGACACAGGGATTGCAGGTAAAGGGAGGGGAAGGGTATTTCAAATATTAGAGTGAAAGCTTTGTCATTTTACTCTTTGTCTAGGCAGCCAGGTGTTATGTGGAGAGAATGGTACCAGAGAATCAGTGCCCTCGTACGGTACTGTGCATTCCCCCCACGTTTGCTGTAAAGTAGCCCAGCAAGCTTTCACCCAATTTGATCTTGTGACCTATTAACTTTTTTTTTTATTTAAGAACTATTTTTTGGTTGATGACCCCTTGACTTTTGCGCTTTTAATAAATACACTCTGGTAATAGAAAATAAGATTAGAAGTGATGATTGAGTCCAAAATCTGGGTGAGTGCGGTGCTTGAGGCAGCACACGTGTGTTTTAAACACCACCTTCACAGTCTCAGGGCCAGGTGCCCATTCTGACTTATTTTCTATTCATAGCATGTTTCCTTGCACCCAACACACTAATATATATGCAGTTCTTTTCTTGAAATTGTGATATATTTGCTGTAGACATTTGCTCCAGCACCTATGAAAACTGTGTGATTTCTCATTTCAACTAAAACTAATAAAGGTTTGCTTTTAGCCAGTTTTTTTCTTTTTTGAAGTAACACGTTCTCCATATTTGCACATCCCTTACAACGTCTGAAAATGTATAGGAAAAAGAAGTCTTTTTTTTTTATACTTTTTTCTTTTTTTTAATATATTTTTTATTGATTAAGATATTACATATGTGTCCCTGTCCCCCCATCACCCTCCACCCCCCCCCCCCCCCCTCTCCCTC